CTCCATCTCCTCCCGACCAACCTCATCCCGCCCCCTTGACCTGTCCGTCTTCCCTGGACTGACCTATCCCCTTCCTAACTCCCTACCTACACTCACCTTTCCTGGCTCCATCCCCGCCTCTTCGACCTGTTTGTTTCTTCTCCACCTATCCTCTCCTCTATCCCTCTTCTATCCGCCTCCCACTCTCTCCCTATTTATTTCAAAACCCCCTTCCCCTCCCCCTTTTCTGATGAAGGGTCTAGGCCCGAAACGTCAGCCTCTCTGCTCCTATGATGCTGCTTGGCCTGCTGTGTTCATCCAGCCCTGCACCTTGTTGTCTCTTGTTTCTAGCTGTGGTGTTGGGTCTGTCGCCATCTGTTGGTAGGAGTCAGTATCTGCTAGTAGTGCGTTAGCTTTCTTGATGTATTGGGTTCTATTGAGGATTACTGTCATGTGTCCTTTGTCTGCTGGTAAGATTACAACGTTCCTGTCTTGAGGCTTCCAGGGCTTTCCTGTCTTCTCTGTTGAATGTGTTCCACTTTCCTCCTCAACTATTTCTTACTTCTGTCTTAACTTGCAATGAAAAAACTTTTAAAAACCGGTGTGTGTCACGTCATCATAACTTCCAGCTTGGATGTTTTGTTTACGACATGACGTCTTTCACCTAAACTTCCCAGTTTTTAAGCAGTAAACTCATTGTTTTCTTTGATGTTTATAAACTTGCCTCTGATGCATTGTTTAAGAGCAGTGATGACCTTGAAAAATGCAACATTTTATGTTAGATTTTGTTTCTTTCATCAAGCATTTTTGCATTCACTTTTTAATATGCAGACAAATTATACAAATAGATGAGCAAATAATTAGCATTCTTCATTACATTGAATCAGTGCATCTGTTTAAATGAGTTACAAATAATGAATAGCTGATCTGGAATACTTTCAATATTTACAGTGGGATAAATATTTGTGATTTGCTTTGCCAATATAAATGTGCTGTGTTTCAATTTCTTCATACTTTTTCAACAAGGTTATTTTGTAGTTGTAATTAATTGCAGACAATTAAAGGAGTAGTCAATACTATTGTCTTGGTAGCTGTGGCAGACCAATCCTGAGCAATGGAAAAGTTAATTCTGTTACCAGTTTGAATTCTTAAGAGAGAATGAAGCATGAAGAAGGCACCATACAATACACTGCAGAGCTTTATAAAATCATTTGAAAGCTCTTTTACTCGGATGTCAGAAATGGAGTAAATGGAAAGATTTTTTTTTTATTTCCAAAGTGCCTTTCACAATAACTGGTGACCCAAATGCTTTACAGCCAATGAAGTCCTTTTAGGGAAAAAATAAAACTGTGGATACCAAAGATCTGAAAAGAAAAGAGAAATTGCTGGAGAAACTCAGCAGATCTGGCAGCATCAGAGTTAACGTTTTGTGTGCAGTGATCCTTCTTCAGAATGGCAGTTCTAGAATCTCCAACCGGTGGAATTAGTTTATCTTTATCTACGCTGTCTTTTCCTGTTCGAAGCTTGAAGACTTCAATCAAATCACAGTTAACCTTGTATATTCTAGAGAAAACAGGTCTAATTTGTATAAAACTCCTTGTTTCCTTGAAGTCCATGTATCATTCTTGTAAACCTATGTTGTTCTCCTGTCAGGGCTAATGTATCCTTTCTATGGTGTGGCATTCAGACCTCATCTCAGTACACCAAGTGAGGTCTAACCAGGGTTTTCTAATAACTGCAGCATAACTTCTGCGTCCTTGCACTTCAGTCCTATTCCGTTGGCTGCCTTGATTATTTTCTGCATCTGTTTTTATCATTTTAAAGTTCTTTGTACCTGAACTCCCAGGTCTGTTTGGATATCCAGTTTTCTCTACCTATTCTGCTATATTTAATGACTCATGTACAGGTATGTCCATTTCTTGCTGCTTCTTGTGCACCCTTTTTAGAATCATTCTGATTAGTCAGTAATATATGAATCTTTTGCTATCTTTGTCCATGTTATTGCAAAGATGATATTGATTTTCTTCTTAGGCATTAATATTAATTTTGTGCAGTGCAATTTATATCTTGTAAAGGTAAAGTCACCATCGTTTTACCAGAGCAGAGGGCTGCCTGCTCATTAGAGAGAGACAACTGGTATTGGTTTGACCTGAGGGTCAGCACACCTCGAACAAGGGACAAGGTTGAGAAAGTGGGACCTTCGTGGTATCCTCTCCTGGTATGGGATTTGAAGCCATGCTATTGCCATTACTGTGCATTGCAAAGTAGCCTTCTAGCTAACCCAACTAACCAATCTACTGAACTTAGCTGTTTAAACACTAGAGGAATCCTTCGTCTTTGCTCATTTTCCAGGGTGAACTTGCTATTTTGTATGTTGAAAATACTTTTTATTTCCACGCCAGGTTCTCTATGGATATCAGTTGCGCTAGTGTTGTTGTCCTGCAGACTTTGACCCAGGCTTCTAGTCAAGACACAGCTGTGTTGAAGCCAGCTGAGGAGCAGTTAAAACAATGGGAGACACAACCTGGTTTCTACTCGGCTTTGTTGGTGAGTTATACTTAATGGCATGGATCTACCTCCTGGTGTAGCGTGTTGGATAAACAAACTAACAGCTTGATATACAACTAGTGGTTGCATAAGCAATTAGTCAACATTTCTAATAATATTACATGGGATGGTCATTCAACAACTTGTTTCTTAAATTCATAAAACAATAAAATTTGCTATTCTTGTAGCATTTTAAATATGTTCATATTTAAGGTAACTTAGACATTGAATATAAATTTAAGATATTAATTTTACCTCTTTCTGAAAGAGAAATGTTTAGGTTACTGTGTGTGACTGTACTTAATCTGAATTAAGTTGCACTATAAGTGCTTAGGTATGACCAGATATCATGCCAATTTGCTGAATTCAGAAGGACCATATTTTTAATAAAATTCACAAACAGAAATATACTTGACCTCTATCTTGGAAGTCTGAGGAACATGGTTGAGATATTTGTGGCATGGTGGCTCAGTGGTTAGCACTGCTGCCTCACAGTGCCAGGGACCTGGATTCCTTTTAAAGTGCTAGCTTCAGTGACTGCAGCAAAAACAAACTCCATGAGTCTGCAGACTTGGAGACAGGTGACCGCACCTTCCGTCACTGCTGCGCGCCCCCCACCGCCAACACCTCTGCAATGTCACAGTGATTGTTTCCATTCTAATCTATTTAAAATTAGCTAAAGTGTAACTTTCAATGACTTCTCTTTCTGGTCCCACTCTATGACCTCTGTAAACGGGGACTATGGTGATGAGACAGACAAAGTTTAGGCATGTGTGTTGAAACAGCAGGTGTAGTTGAGTGGTGGTAGAGTTTTTGTTTCAGGGTGAATATAGGAGGAAGTAGGGTTGCAGCATAACTTGGCTCATTGAATCCACACCAACCCTCCGAAGAGCATCCTATCCAGATACCCTCGGGCAACTGTCTGTGTGGAGTTTGCACATTCTCCTCTGTGTGGGTTTCCTCTGGGTGCTCCAGTTTCCTCCCACAGTCCATTGATGTGCAACTTAGGTGAATTGGCCATGCTAAATTGTCCCATAGTGGCCAGAGATAAGTAGGTGAGATCTGTTAGCCATAGGAACTATTGGGTGGGGGATGGGTCTGTGTGTGCTGCCCTATGGAGTGGCTGTGTGGATTTGTTGGGCCAAATGGCCTGTTTCCACACTGTAGGGACTCTGAAAATTAGCCAAATTTTATTGTTCATCTGATTTCTTGGAAAATATTTCCCAGTTTTTTTTTGTTCATGGAATGTTAACATCATAGATAAGGCACGCAATTATTGCCCATCCCTAATTGCCATTGTGAAGATGTTGATGAGCTGTCCTTTTGAACTAATGTTGTCCATGTAGTGTAAGCATGCTTTCAGTGCTGTTACAAAGGGAGTTTCAGGATTTTGATCCAGGTGACTGAAAGGGAATGATGATTTAGTTCTTACTTGGAATAGCGAGTGATTTGGATGGCGCTGTCAAAGGAATTTTGGTGAGTTGCCGCTGTGCATCCTGTATATGTCACAGTTTGTTGTTGGTGAAAAGAGTGAAGTTAAGTGCTGATCAAGTGATGCTTTGTCCTGAATGGCGTTGACTATCTTGAGTGTCACCTGTCGAGCTGTGCTAATTCAGTCAAATGGAGAGTTGCTCCATCACACTTCTGACTTGTGCACTGGCTGTAAGGAGCCAAGAGTGAGTTACTCACCAAAGACTTCCCAATTTCTGATCTGTTCTAAACATGTATATAAAATAGGGCTAGCACAGTTAGGTGTCGAGAAAATTGCATCCCCACGTGTGGATAGTGGGGAATTCAATGTTGGTAATACCATATGCCATTAAATGGCAATGGGATGAAATATCTGAAGCATTGTTACAGCCATGAGATTAAAAGTTGGGGTTGTTCAATTTAGGTTGATGGTAACCCTGCCGATGTTGATATTAGGAAGTTCGGCAGTAGTAGTGATATTAAATTTTAAAGGGGAGATGGTTAGATTCTCTCATTGGAGATGACCATTGCCTGGTGCTTGTGTGGTGCAGTTGTTACTTGCCACTTGTCAGCCCAAGCTTGAATGGTGTTCAGGTATTGCTATATGTGTACATGGGCTACTGCAGTATTTAGGGAGTTGCAAAAGTAATTGAATATTGTGCATTAGACAGTGAACATCCCAACTTCTGACCTTACGATGTAGGGAAAGTTATTGATGAAGCAGCTAAAGATAGTGTCATAGAATCCCTACAGTGTGGAAACAGGCCATTTGGCCCGTTGAATCCACACCGACCCTCTGAAGAGCGTCCCACCCAGACAAGCCCTATCCCTGTAAACTTGCACTTTCTATGGCTAATCTACCTCAACTACACATCCTTGGCCACTATAGGCAATTTAGCAAAGCCAATCCACCTAACCTGCATATCTTTGGACTGTGGAAGGAAATCGGAGCACCCAGAGGAAACCGACGCAGACATGGGGACAATATGCAGACTCCACACAGACAGCCGTCCCAGGGTTGAATCAAACTTGAGTCCCTGGTACTGTGAGGCAGCAGTGCCCATGGTGCTTCGCCCTAGGACATGAATTTCTACAGCGATGTCCTGGGGCTGAAATGATGGACTCTTTGTTGATACTAATGCATGCCTTTCATTGCCATCTTCTTAACCACTTTCATTTCTTTTCAATGGCCTATGGCTTAATAGTATTCCATCCTACCACATTCTTAAGGACTGGAATAGAATGTGGATTATCAGTCCGATGTGCAATGCTCCCAATGTATTCTCATCGTGTTTATCACACTCTGTTCATCTTTGTTCACTTATTGTCATCATATTCCACATACAGCTCCCTATTATGCTGCAACCCTACTTCCTCTTGTATTCACCCCGAAACAAAAATTCTATCACCACTCAACTACACCTGTTTCAACACACCATATGCCTAAACTTTGTCTGTCTCGTCACCATAGTCCCTATTGATAGAGGTCATGGTGTGGGAGCAGAAAGAGAAGTCATTGAAAGTTACACTTTAGCTAATTTTAAATAGACTAGAATGGAAACGATCACTGTGTGACATTGTAGAGGTGTTGGCGGGAGGTGGAAAGTGTGGTCACCTCATGGAGTTTGTTTTTGTTGCACTGGAGCTAGCACTTTAAAGGTCCAAATGAGTTGAAGAGTAAGGGGAGAAAGGTTTTAAGAAGATGATTTGATGTAGTGGAATGAAGCTGGTGGTTTTCCGAAATTCCAGGTGATCATGAATTTGGTGAACACTTTTTTTTAGCAGGATTCGACCTCACATCATATGACACTGGGTCAAAATACTGAAAAACCTTTCTTTATGGCACTGTTGGGTGCACCCATGTCAGTTGCACTGCAACGGTTCACAAAGGTGACTCATCTTAATCTTTTGGAGGGGTTGTGGGTATGGGCATCAGTTGTCAGCCCCTCATCCCATGGAAAAGAGCCAGGGAGGTTTAGGGAAGGAAGTCCTGAGTTTTGGACTTAGGCAACCGAAGACATTGCTGTGCCTTCACCATTGCTGCCACTACCAAAATGGGTTTGCTCAAAATAGAGTTGGAGGAGCTCAGGTATCTCTGAGAAGTGTCGGGATGGGGATGGTTGAGGCCATGGAAGGATTTGAGAACCAGGATTAGAATTATTTAATGGGGATGTTGATGAACAAGGAGCCGCAGTAGGCCATCAAGCACAGTGGTGGTTTCACAGGACTGTGAATTAAAAAAGCTCTGAATGTTTCCTTGTTTATGGGTGCCATTAATCAAGGCACAATCATCGCATTATCTATGAGATGTGACAGTCACATTGAAATGTGTCGGGATTCACTTTAGATTGTATGATTGGAGTGGCTGCAAATTTGAATCCTTTGTTTCTTGTTCTTCTCAAGTGTAGGTGTTGATTTTCTAAAGTATATTTCCCTTTGAGTACAGCTTGGACTTAAACAGCATCTCAAGGCACTTCAGGGTGAGCCTGCAGATCACAATGCATTTTGAAATATCTACAGGTTACTGTTGGAATTGTAACTGTCAAATTGTCGGGTTAAATGGAATGGAATTGCTTTGTTGAATCAGTTGGAGGAGCCATTATATACATTAGTAATTTAGAAAGGCTGTAAGCATGAAAGCATGAGATGAATGGATGCAGAAATCACATTTTAGTGAGGGTGTAAAAAATGGTACAGAATTTGGTGATCATTATTAACTCAGAACCAGAAGCGATGTGGGCTACACCATAGGAAAATGAATTCTGCCCATTAAACATTATGTTGGACAGCCTCTGTCAATGAATGGAGCAGTGGTGACTCATATCTAGATATGTTTGGTGTAATAACAAAATATGAAATTTGTCTACAATGTGAATTTTATTTATGACAGAGGAACTTGAGCTTTGTATTCGGGATAGGTACAATGGATGAACATGAATTCAGATTATTGGAAAGCAGCAGACGCCATCAGGGCAATAGAACCTTTTGCAGATATCATATAATTTTACAAAAAGTTCTGTGATTTTTACAATTAGAAATCATCTTGGTCCATCCTTGATTATGGATGCATGATGATGCCCTCACTTGTACAGGCAGTGCTACCAGTACATGAGCTTGTGGCATGTTCTGATGACATCACTGTCACTTGGGGTAGACAGTCTGAATGCATCAGTGGTTACACTGTGGGATGCCTTTAATTTGACAGCGGGAGTTGGTGTTTTACAACGGTAAAATGTTAATCCCCTTGTGGGACTATAGACATTGGATGCTAGGAACACCAAATGAACTGTTGAAGTGGCAAAATTTAATGTTATCTGTAACCAGTTTTTGTGGCAGGTTCATTTTCTGCCAATGTTGAAATGTTTATTATATATAAATTGATGTAAAATCATAAATAGTGGCCTCTTAATTGTCATGTGGCAGAAAACTTTTGAAGTGCTTTGAAGAATGCCTTTTAAGGTGCTCAGTGCAGATTGCTAATTGTTGAGCTCTGTCAGCTTAGGCCTTCACTTGAAAGAAATCTCCATGAAAAATGTTAATCTTTAGATCTTTACCTGTAAATTCCCATAGGCTGCAGATGATATCAAATCAAGGTCAATATTTTTAAAAAATCCGTCAAATCATTTGGCATTTGGAAACAAAGTGTAATAGCTCGTAGTATGCCATTGACCTGTGTATGTTATTTTGTGAAGGAGCTAATAGAATTGTATTTTCATCTCATCAGTTTCAAAAATGATTGCCAGTCTTAATCTACTCCTCAACAGCCACTGATTATCTTTTATTATGGTGCTTTCTTTTGGGATGGAAGCTACCATCACATTCATTCTCAATAGAAATGTACTTGTTTTTGGCTGCTTAATTGCAATGTTGACTCATTGAGAGAAAGAAAGATTAGGTTATAACCTCAATGAAATAGCACAGCAGTCCCAATTACGTCATGGCAGATCTGTGCATTAAATCCATTACCTGTATCTGATGAGAATAGATTCTAGTTTAAAAGTTTTTCAATTGACCTAGCTTCATCAACATGTTGGGGGTAAGAATTCCCAATTGCCTCATGTTTTGTGACTAACTGTTCTTACTGAGGTTACCCTCGAACAGCCAGCCAGAATTTTGAAGATATGCTTCTTCAATTGGACTACCCAAATTAGTTTTGTCTCTATCCACCCAATCAAATTCATAAACTCTCTTAAGTACCTCAATTATTATCATTCTGACTTATTCATGAAGAATGGATAGTTGAACATTGCAGCTGTTACACTGGAGATTACCAGTAGACGTGAAGTTGGGAGAAATACAATTGAGTTCAAGATTCCTAGCTTTGTAGGTTGATTGAAATTCTTTTGTCTTGATTTCCTTCAACACCAGCCAACTGTTAGCATGAATTGAGAGTGTTATTTTTTGCATTTTTAAGCTGAAGGGCAGGATTGCTTATGACTGTTCTTGGAGCTGTTACTCTCACTTGGATGTCAGGCCACTAACACAGTGTTGCATTTGTTTTTTTCTTATCCTTTTTTTGTGTGCTGCTCATATAATGGAAGGCCAAAACTTCCATTATGCAAAAGAGGCTTTACTTTGGGTGGGTTTGCAGGGGAAGAGTCACAACTCTTGTTATCTCTTCTTGTTACGTTTCTCTTTCTCTTTAAAATTTCTTTTCTGCTTCTGTTTCTCTCTCTCTTCGGGGTTTTCCTTGACAAGCTGTAGGTGTGACATTCCATGAGTCCCAGACAGGACTTTGCCAGACTGAATTTACATCTGCAGTTATATTTTGGCCATTATATTTGGCAGACTTCTTTTAGATTGAAGACACTTTGGAGTTAAAAAGTTAATGATGTCCATGGTACTTCAGGGTTCTGATCCATTGTCATCACAATGGGAGCATGATATGGGATGGGGAAAAAGGACAGTAGTCATGTATGTTTATGAATGATTGAAGTTAAGAGGGCAAAAGGTGTAAATTGGAATAATTAGATTTGGAGGTGATGAAGCAAATCAATTTTTCTTGTTATGCCCCACTGGATATCACGCTGGAAGTCAAGTGCCACTATTCCCAGAGTTGTTAAGATTTTATAAAAGTACGCACAATTCCGAAATTTACCTGTATTTTAGACCCAAGTTGATAGAGTGCATGGACCAGGTTTCTGTACGTAATAAGATTTTTTTTTTACTAGATTCAAACTGCAGATAATAATTTGATCTATAGATATACAAATTTAAATTCTAACCCCATAAAAATTCTCTTTCATATACATGGAGACAGACACAGAAGAAAATGGGTAGTTTGACCAGAGAGAAAGATTGGGAATGCAGTTCAATGGTACTTGTCTGTAGGGTTTGCTAAGATAAACCTTTTGCTGATCAGATCACTGCTCCCTGACCTACCGTTCCAGACACTTCCACTTTTTTTGCATAGGTTATTGGTTCTCACTTGTAAAGGTTTCTGACTTATTAATTAAAAGTCACAGCTCGCAGCAACACGAAGAGAACTGAACCAGCTGTCTTCAGGCTTGAGGTGCTTTTGCAGAAAGAAACAGCTCCTACCCATTGCAGAGCTTGAACGCTTCTGACCTAAACATTCATACTCCCATGCTGTTCAGCTATATGGTAACCAATCACATAGCGGTTGGCAGGGAGGAGGCCTTTGTCATTGATAATTTCACAGATCAATCAGTTAAATGTTGCCAAATCTGTCTTAATTTGTAGCCGGTAACAGAGCTTTTCTCACAGCCTGAAGCAATTGTTGTGTGAACAGCATTTAAAATGAGTGTACGCAATCTGCTTTTAAAAATTGCAGTAATCCTTCAAGTCCAAAGATGTACCGGTGGATTGGCTATGCTAAATTGGCCATAGTGTCCAGAGATGTACAGGCTAACTGGATTAGCTATGGGAAAAGCAGGTGGGGTAGGGAGGTCGGCTTTGGTGGGATCCGCTTTGGAGGGTTGATGGATTTGACGGGTAGGGATTCTATGATTCTAATTCTGGGATTTTAAAACAGACCTCTTCCCATTTCAGTCCATGATATGCATGATATGATAGCTGATACAGAGACATGGTTACAAGATAGTAAGGATTGCAACTTGAATATTCAAATGTATGTCACGTTTAGGAAGAAAAAGTTGGAAGTACAGCTCTCTTAATTAAAGATGGCATTGGTACAATAGATTAATTTTGCTTTTGAGATCAGGAGGTAGAATCAGTTTGGGTAGCGATAAGAAATACTAAAGGTAAGAAGTCACCTTTGGGAGTGGTTTATAGGTCTCATAATGGTAACCACACTACAGATTGGGGTATGTAGGAAGAAATATTGGGCACTCGTGAGAAAGGCAAGGCGATAAACGTTGATGATTTTAATCTATATGTAGATTGAAAAATTCAGATTGCAAAATGTAGCCTGTTGAGTTCATACAATGTTCTCCGAGTTTGTTGGAGCAGTATGTTTTTGGTCCAAGCAGAGAGCAGGCGATACTGATTTCGTTAAGTACAATTAATTGATGACCTCGTAGTAAAAATGCACCTAAGTGGCAATCATCTTCATTGAATTTTAAACTTAAATTAGGACAATAATAAGGGCATAAAACCAAGCTAGCTAAAGGAACTGGGAAACTAAGTTAAGGGATATGTCAGTAGAGATACAATGATAGGTAATTAAGGAAGCATTTCAAAACCATCATCTCCTGCAACCACAATGGAACACAGTCATTATTGCTGATATCATTGATGTGTTTGGAACTGGTAGAGTTGTGAAGTAATACAGCATGGGAATAGGTCCTTCGGCCCAAACTGGTCCATACTGACCTTGGTAATCTGTATTCATTCTGCCCAGAGGGACATGGATGGTCCTGCTGATATAATTTTTATGCCAAAGATTTTGGTCCTTAGACTCCAAATGTTTACAACCTATATTAATTACTTGAATGCAGGATAGAATGTACATTAGCCAAATTTGTGAGTTTCACTAAAATAGGTGGGAAAGGAAGTTAGAATTAAGAAAAAAGAAGTTTACAAGTAGATATGGATAGGTTGTGTGAATGGGCCCAAATTTGACATCTGGAAGTGTACTGTGAGGTTATCCAGTTTGGTCGGAAGAACAAATAGGCATTTTTGGTAATCTCCTTTTAATCTCCGCCTTACATGCAAACACACATGCATGTAAAAACACACTTGTGCACACACAGGGTAAAAGTGGTTATGGACAGAGGGCAAAAACTGCAAAGACATCTTTGTTGCCAGGTATGAGATGATCCTTATGACTTTTCCATTGACCAGCACTTTTCTTGTGTTCTCTTTTTTTCCGGGTGCGTCCACTGATTGGTGAGAGATCTAATGTGGTTGACACAATTATGAAAAGTCTCTGACTTATCAGTTAAATGTCACAGCTTCCAAGTTGTGCAGGAAAGACAAACTGGTTTCTTTAAGTTTACAGTGAATTTTGACAACAGAGAGATGACTCCTGACCTTGGAAAGAACTGAACATCTCTCCTCCTCCTCCTCTTCTCACTGTCCTGTCCTGTCCCCCCTGCTGCTTCTGTGCCCTTCAATAACTTGTGTTCAGTTACCCAAGTACTTCTAAACACTTGTTGCCAACAAAAACGGTGTCTGAGAGACCCTTTTGGATTCAAATCATCTGCAACTCAATCTCCAATTGATGCTTGTTCTAACAGTTGAATATACTGTCAGGTTACTTGCTTTCAAAACTGCAGCCTCTCTTTCAAACACTGGTTTTTAAACATCTCTTTCACGTTTCAGTCCACAGTTTAAAGGCACATTCACCCTGTGTCTGTGTGGGTTTCTTCCAGGTGCTCCAGTTTCCTCCCACAGTCCAGTGATGTGCAGGTTAGGTGGATTGGCCATGCTAAATTGCCCCATAGTGTCCAGGATTGTGGAGGCTAGGTGGATTAGCCATGGGAAATGCAGGGTTACAGAGATAGTGGTGGTGGGTCTGGATGGGATGCTGTTCGGAGGGTTGGTGTGAACCAGATGGGCCGAATGGCCTGCTTCAACACCATAAGGATTCTTTGAGTACTTATAATTACTTATAAAGACACAAAACAAAAAGACATTGTCTTTATACTGAAAATTCACAACCTGGCTGAAATTACTAATTTAATGTTGATTGTCAGTACCAGGAAGACAGGCTTAATATACAGTTATAAATGGATGAATGATGTAATTCATCAGAAAGCCAACACAGCAAATGGTGGGCAAGCTGTTTGATTCTTGAATCCAATATGATGGCCTCTATCCAAATGCAGTGGTTTGAAAACAGTGACAAGTTAAGAATAGAGGAAGGATACATTTTTAATATAAAATCTGCATATAAAGCTAATTTATACTGTTTAAACCACTGGCTATGCCCGTTAGACAAATTGATCTATTTATTGTATACTTTTCAGAATATCTTCACTAATCACACACTAGATGTAAATGTACGGTGGCTTGCTGTGTTGTACTTCAAAAATGGAATTGATCGTTACTGGCGACGTATTGCTCCACAGTAAGTTCTTTGTTTGTTGTTTTACATTTAATGGATGTTTTCGAAGTCGCACAGATTGCTACACTCTTTGGAAAAAGTCACTTGTCGAGATCTTGAGTGAAGGTGAACTGTACACTCCTGGTTAACCTACCAAGATGTGTAACTGTGCCATTCCTAATTCTTGTTAGCCTAATGAGTTGTATATAAACATAGGAAGTTGGAATAGAAGTTGATCAATCAGTAGAGGTTGATTTTTCATTCCTATTCCCATTCCTAGCTACCCATGATAACCTTTGGTTCCCTTGCCTAACAAGAATATATCTACCTTTGCCTTAAAAAATATCTAAGAACCCTGCTTGTGCCATTTTCTGTGGCTGACAGTTATACAGTTACACAACCCTTTTAAGAGAAAAAGGAACTCTCATTTTCTGTCCTAAAATGGCAAATATTTATTTTTTAAGTGCCCTGACTTAAAAACAGTAAGGGAAAGTTGCCATAGTCCCAGAGACCATAGGGCTGCTGTCCCTCAGAGAGAGTTAACTGTTGGCAGTTTAACCTGCAGGTCACCACATCTCAGGTGAGGGGAGAAGAACAGAATAAGAGTCCTTCATGGTAACCTCAGCTGGTGCAGGAAACTGCATTCTAAACCAGCCATTCAGCCAGTGGAGCTAACCGACCCCTATCTAGACTGACTATATTGACGCACAAGTTCTGTTCTTTGCAGATGGAATGGTCATGTACGTACAATGTACCTGTTACGGCGCAACAAAATTGGTACCAACCATTCACTGGTTAATTTCTTGGAAATGCCCTAATCAATCAGATCCAACCTACTTGCTTCAAAATTTAAGCAAAGCCTGGAAGTCACTGTCAGCCAGCAGTAATGGATGCATTTTCCATGACAAAGCCTCAACCAATTTGAGTCCAGTTGCCAACCAATCAACATTCTCCCATGTGCAGTATAAATGTTGACTTTCCCCTTGAACTGGTATTCTTGCAAATTGTCCTGATGATTCCAAGTTGAAAAGCTATAACAAAATGCATTTTTTTCAGCAATACTCAAGTTTCGTGCAACACACAATTAATTTATTCTTTCTTAAAACCCTACTCCTCCTCCTAGGTTTTATTGCTACAGTACTAGTAAATTTTACTATACAAATAAACCTCCGAATTACTAATAAATTTCCTGAATTTTGAAGGATAGATGAGCATACTACTCAATGACTAATGACTTCACTGTTTTCCAGTTAGGCCACTCTTTTTACTTTTTCCTGAAGGAGTTTGATCCATAGGTTGACCCCATACTGTTTATGAAGTTGCAGTCCCCACGCTTTCTTACCATCTTTTATCCGCCATCATATTGCTGATTATGAAACTGCTTTCTCTGCTGTGCTTTTTTTGAAATGAAGATCCATCTTTTTGATGCTGTTTATGAAGCTGCTTTTCTTGCTTTCACTTGCCGTTTTTAAAAGATGTGCTGCAATCAAAGAAATTGGAGTATGTTCAGAAATGGACGGTTTTTCCAACCAGTTCAAATTGGTAACAAAAACAGAAGTTGCTGGAAAAGCTCAGCACGTCTGGCAGCATCTGTGAAGAAAAGAACAGAGTTAACATTTTGGGTCTGGTGACCCTTCCTCAGAACTGATGGTCACTGGGAAAATGTCAGTTTATATGCAGAAAATAGGGAGGGGGTGCGGTAGTGGAGTAAACGATAGGATAGAGCCCAAAGCGAGAGAGGAACAGTTGGACAGACAAAGGAGTTGCTAACCATCAGGCTGGGAGGGTGAGTAGTTGTTAATGGGGACTGTTAGTGACTAACAATAGGTGATGTGTAATGGCAGCCTACGTGATAACAAGGCCTGGTGTGTGGGGTGCAGGGCTAGGACATGGGAGAATTCAGGCCCTAAAATTATTGAATTCGATATTGAGACAGAGGGTCCCTAAGCGGAAAATGAGGTGTTCTTCCAGCTTGCGTTGAGCTTCGTTGGAACACTGCAGCAAGCTAGAGACAGAGATGTTAGTCAGGGAACAGGGTGGTGTGTTGAAGTGGTGGGCAACAGATAGCTCAGGGTCTTTTTTGTGAGCAGAACATAGATATCCTGCGAAGCAGTCACCTAGTGTACGCTCCGTTTCCCCAATGTAGAGGAGACCACATTGTGAGCAGCGAATGCAGTAGACTAGATTCTGGGAAGTGCAGCTGAAGTGCTGCTTCATCTGGAAGGTATGTTTGGGCCCTTGGATACTGGGGATTGAGGAAGTAAATGGGTAGGCGTTGTACCTTCGATTACAGGGGAAGGTGCCATAGGGATGGGGGGGTGCGGTGGCGGCGGCGGCAGTGTTGAGGGTGAAGGAGGTGTGGACCAGGGTATCCGGAGGGAATGGCACCTGCGGAAGGCGGACAAGGGAGGGGAGGGGAAGGGAATATGTGTCTGGTGGTGGCATCTCACTGGAGGTGGTGGGAATGGTGTCTGATGATCTTCTGGATGTGGATGCTGGTGGGATGGTAGGTAAGAACAAAGGGAGCCCTATCGCTGTTGCAGGACATGGGTTGGACCTGGTTGAGGGCCCTGTCGACAACGGTGCTGGGGACTCCTCGGTTGAGGAAGAAGGTGGACATTTTGGAGGCTCCCTTGTCGAAGTTAGCTTCAAGTGAACAAATGTGACGGAGATGGAGAAACTGAGAGAATGAGATGAAGTCTGTACAGGAAGCATGGTGCGAGGGTGTATAGTCTAGGTAGCTGTGGGAGTTAGTGGGTTTATAGTGGATATTAGTGGCCAGTCTATCCCCAGAAATGGAAACAGAAATGCCGAAGAAGGGAAGGGAGGAGTCAAGATAGACCAGGTGAGAATGAAGGCAGAGTGGAATTTGGAAGCAAAATTGATGAACTTTTCCAATTCTGGATGAGAGAGGGAAGATATATCAGAGAAAGAGTTGTGGGTGGGGGCCAGAATATGACTAGATCAAGGAATGTTCCACATACCCCATGAAGAGACAGGCATAACCAGGGCCCGTGCAGGTACCCATGGCCAGTCCTCTGACCTGAAGAAAATGAGAGGAGTTAAGAGAAGTTGTTGAGGGTGAGACCGAGCTCGGCCAAGCAAATTAACACTTGCGACTTTTGAGAGAGCGTAGAAGCAATGGGGGAGAAATCTCTAGATTGTGCTTGGATTGGTAGGAATTGAATTGTGAGAAGATACCTCTATAGATTATCGAAGGAGGATTAACATGAAGATGACCATTGCGGTCAAATGTAGTAATGTCTACAGAAAGACTAAGGAGGAAGAGTAGAGATAACTCTTCACTCCATCGCAGTGAATTTCATTCATGACTTTGAAGTCATTTTGGTACTTGAAAAGGACAGAAATCAGGCACAAGAGGTTGTGCATGGATTTGTGGGAAAGGTGTAAATATAGCTGGGAGCATGTTCATTTGAGGACCGTGGAAAGACTGAAAAACATGGAATTCTATATTGATAAGGGTGAAGAATTAAGCATGGAATTCTTAATGGCAATAATTGTGATTTTAAAGCAGAGGAATGAGAAACAATTCTGTTAACCTTTCCATCCCAGCCCCCTCATATGCCTGCCCTCAACATTTTCTTCTGCAGCATGGAAGTATTGCTGTGACTTGTTTACTGTAATATTCTATCTTATTGATTTACTGTGCGTTAAAGTATTAGAGTTCCTTAAAATACATGTGTGAAGATATGATTTTCAAATAGCTTTGGAATCTTCCACATTAGTAAGTGTTATTGCCAATTCAAGGCTGAAATCCTCGAAGACAGAAGGATTGGTGGATGAGGATTTACTTTTGAAATAATAAGTTAAAGTGATGGTCTTGGTCTTGTTCCTCAAGAAAAAGTTTTAATTTTTTTGCAGTGATTTTTTTGAAAAGTTTGCAGATTGTCAAAAAATCACCAGGGTGTGCAGTCACACAGGTAACTGTTGCACAAGTAAAACATGTATATCATTATCAGCATTTTAGTATTATATCAGAACATTGTATTTAGTACAGATAATTTCAAGAATAATATGAGTGTATCATTATTTATTTCATCGTTATTTGAGTAGTTACAGTTATCATGGAAAACAATTTGTTTTTACTTTTCACAGTGCTATATCAGAAGAAGAAAAGTCCTCATTGCGTGCAGGGCTCATCGCAAATTTTAATGAACCGGTGAATCAGGTTGGTGATGTGATTTCACATGGATTTCTAAGGGTTATTTGTTTGGGACAATTGTTTCTCTTACGTGGAAGAAATCACATTGCCATTTTGTCAGCATTTAAGCGAGGAAGAAAATTGTGATAAATGGCTATACAACTGTTGAGCCGGTGAAGACTGCTTTATCTGGCCAAATGAGAAATAATGCAAAATAAGTTACAAGTATGTTGCAATCATGTTATTAAATGGTGACATTTCTACAACTCCCAATGTGTTTGTATATATCTACACACACAAGTGCTTAAATCAAAATACCTGTTGTAGAAAGGGAACTAAGAGAATATGTACAGAAATGCTCAGAGTTAATGTTTCAGGTCCGGTGACCCTTCCTCAGAACGTCACCAGACCCGAAACGTTAACTCTGATTTTCTCTTCACAGATGCTGCCAGACCTGCTGAGCTTTTCCAGCAACTTCTGTTTTTGTTCCTGATTTACAGCATCTGCAGTTCTTTTGGTTTTTAAGAGAATATGAATAATTTTTATTTTTCTGATTCCTTGGTAACTACGATCAACATGCCTGTTTGCGTGTGCGTATGTGTGTGAGTGAATACATATATGATTATATATGTCATATGTTTCAATAACAAGTTTCACTTCGCTTCTAATATGTTGGGTGAGCATTTCATTCTGTATAACTTTGTGCTGACTGCTGATTTTTAAACAATCAGTGGCAGTCTCTCAGCCCTGCATGGTGGTCTTTGGGTGGTATGTGGCAGTCTCTCAACCCTGCATGGTGGTCTTTGGGTGGTATGTGGCAGTCTCTCGGCCCAGCGTGGCCTCAGCCTGGACTTCTGGTTTCGAGATAATTCATTGAAGTGCGATTCCACCGTAACTAAGTATTTAAGAAAGACTGTATTGCTTGAACTTTCAGCTTTATTTCTTTATTTTCGCAGACCTCCTTAGTTTTAAGTCAATATGCAACTTTTAACCTTACTTCAAATGTTTTATGCTATGCCATAATTATGCAATGTTTAACTTTTAACTTTGTTCTTTCTTTCTACCTTGTTCTTAAGATTCTGTACCTAGGTACTTGTGCCTAAGATGGCACCTTCTGTGGCGATATTGTACACTTTTCACTGTACTCCTGTACTTTTGTACTTGAGTACACGTGACAATAAAATCAAATCAATCAAAATGAATCATGAGGTCACGCCTGTTTACTCTATTTGTTACCATTGTTGTCCCTTGATGCTGCCACTTAAAATACATTGAATGTTGACATTACCAAAACCTTCTTGCTGGTGATGTTAAGAAATGACCAGATAATTACTTAATTAGGAAGAATTACAATCTTTTGCTGCTTTATTACCTAGATGTGAGGAGTGTGCTGTTTTTCTCTAGTTAACATCAAGTTAATCATTTTACCTGACTCCTAATATGGTCAGTAGAATTTTTTTTAATATAAAGATCTATCAGCCAGCTTTCTTTAATGAGCACCAATTTATTGATTTATTTTAAAACACAACCTATTCCATGAAATACGAAACTGGTTAATGCACTTCGTAATATGAAAATGTCAATGTTTATCCCTTTAGAAAACACGTCTGCATGTGTGCGCACAGAGGTAAAGGGGAAAAAGAAATTCACTTTGGGAAATGAACATTTTTGACCAGTAAGTCTTTGTTCTTGAAGACGAAAAGGATCAGGTGTTTTCAGGTGTTCAGATGGCTGTCTTGTATGTAGAGGCAAAGAGGCATCATCACACATGGGCAGTCACTCCTGTAATCTTCACAGATGCAACTTGCTTAGGAAATGCCGTATTGAAAAGTCTTACTAAGTCAGTTTATAGAGGACAGTCATTTTTTTCACTGGGCTCACCGTAAAAGTGCTTGAGAACAAGAGACTTGAGTTGAGCAGCTCCTTTGTTTCAGCAAGCTTCCTCAAATAATCGAAAAAACCACCTTCATGCATGCGAAGCACCATTTGAACAGAACACCCATAAAACCAGTCATAAAACCAGTAAAGTGTTTTCTCTGAAGTGAGTTCAAGCAACCAAAATCTGCAGTTATTTGGAACCCATTGGATTTTCATTTAAGGATTTGAGATGCTTTGTTTGAAAAAACGTTTCACTGTCCTCTCTTTGACCTCTTTAAAAATGTCAGTCCAAGTGTCCATAATCCTTCGACTCAAGTCCATAAAACTAATTAAACATGAAGCTGTCATAAATTTGAATCTTACTATGGGGTTCTTCACATGCATCCAATTGAGGAGATGCACATTGATATCATAATTCATCTGGAACAATTCTGACTCTGCATTGAAGCTCTAACTTTATAGCCAAGCTGTAACTTATGTGCTTTGCTGAGCTTTTAAGACTTAGTGAACTGCAGTGCAATTTGAATAATCTTTTCTCATCAGTTGAACCAGCATTGATTAAAAATGAGTACAGATGCTTGGCATTTTTCACAACCTCCTCTTGTCTGTGCATTTCTGACTTGACAAAGTTTTTTTGGCTAATAACCCATTACAAGTAAAATCAAATTTATTCATTGACTGAAATTAGTTGAATAAAAAGATTTTCTCTTAAATCTGAAAACTGATGATTTTTGTGTACCTACGTGTTCATTTGACATTGTAATTTTTATTTCAGTGGTTCTGCACTTAAATAAATTCTTTTTCATGGACTGCTCCTGAGTTTAATTATTTAATATGTGGTTTATTTCTTTACAGATTGCAACACAAATTGGAGTACTGATTGCTAAGGTTGCCAGGTTAGATTGCCCTCGACACTGGCCAGAATTAATTCCCACACTGTTGGAATCTGTTAAGGTGCAGGATGATCTCCGTCAGCATAGGGCACTGCTTGCCTTTTATCATGTTACTAAGACTCTGTCATCCAAAAAACTGATAGCAGATAAGAAGCTGTTTCAAGATGTAAGTATTTTTAAACAAACAGTGATAAAGTTTATATATTATTGCGCATGTAAAAGTCCTGGTAACATTCTTGTAAATCTTCTTTGCACTCTTTTCAGTTTAATAACATCCTTCCTACAGCAGGACAATCATAATTGTTTCTCAGTATTTTAAATACGACCTTACCAATGTCTTATACAGCTGTAACATGGCTTCCCCATACCTGTACTCAATGCTGTAATCAACAAATTTCAAATGCCACCTTCACCTTGTTTACCTGTGACGTCACTTTCAGGAAACTATGTCCCTGCATCCCTTGGTTCTCTGTTCGACAACACTCCCCAGGGTCCTACTATTAATTGGCTAAGTCCTGCCCTGGTTTGTGTTACCAAGATGCAACGGCTCGCTTTTATCCGGATTAAACGCCATCTGCCATACCTTGGCCCGTTGGCCCAGTTGATCAAGATCCCATTATATTCTGAGATAACCTCCTTCAGTGTTCACTATATTAACAATTTTGGTGTCATCTGCAAACTTACGAACAATACCTCCTATCTTTCCTTTTAAATAGTTAATATAAATGATCAACAACAGTGGACCCTGCACTGATACTTGTTGCACACCACTGGTCACAGGTCTCTAGTCTGTACAACAACCTGTACCAACACCCTCCGTCTCCTACTGTCCAGCCAATTTTGTATCCAATATGCTGGCTCTCCCTGGATCCTGTGTGATCTAACCTTACTAACCAGTCTACCATGCAGAACCTTGTCAAAAGCCTTGCTAAAGACCATGTAGACAACGTCTACCACTCTGCCATCATTGATCATCTTGATCACCTTTGCAAAAAACCGTAGTACCCTTGGAAACATTGAGAATCAGAGGCACCTTGGTGTGCGTGTCCCCTTGTCCCTTAAGCTAGCAGGATAAGGTTGATAGTAGTTAATAACACAAATGGGATACTTATCTTTATTGGCCGAGGCATAGAGTTTAAGAGCTGGGCGATTCTGCTAGAACTGCATAAAACATTGGTTAGGCAGCAATTAGAGTATTGTGTGCAGTTCTGAACCTTCACCATGTTTCTGGGCAAAACATTCCATACCCTAACGTCTTGCTGTATGGAGAAGGCTTTTTCTTGCATCACCCTTGCTGTGTTTGCACATCATTTTATATCTATGCCCTCTCATTCTTGTTTCATTTACAAGTGGAAACAGCTTCGCCCAATCTACTCCGTCCAGTCTGCTCATGACGTTGAAAACCTCAATCAGATTTCCTGTCGGCCTTCTACTCTGCAGGGAGGAGTTTGCCGACTTCTTCAATCCAGCTTCATAGCTGAAGCTTTTCTATAATGCAGCATACACGACTGTACACAATACTCTAATTGAGGTCTAAGAAGTGTCTTGTACAAGTTGAACATGACCTCCTACTCTTGTACTCTGTACCCCTATTAATAAAGCCAAAAAGAATTTATTCTTTAATTAGTGCTCTCGCCACCTGTCCTGCTACCTTCAGTGATCGTTCACATATATACCCAGGTCCCTCTGCTCTTGCACTCCTTTTAGAATTGTTTGCCTGTTTTATATTATCTTTCGGTGTTCTTCCTACCAAAGTGCATCACCTCACACTTCTCTACAATGAACCTCATTTGCCACCTATCTGCCCACTCTGCCAATTTGTCACTGTTCTTTTGGAGTTTCGCACTATTTTCCTCTCAGTTTGCAATTCTTCCAAATTTATTGTCATCTGCACACTTGGAAACAGCAAGTCCAGGTCATGAATAAATATCAGGAAAAGCAAGGGTGCCGTACTGACCTTCCTCCTCTTTGGAAAATATAATCCACTGAGCATTACTCTCTTGTTTTCTATCACTTCACTAATTTTTGAATCCACATTGTCAACTATATTAATTTTGATCCCTCTTGTGACAGGGTTTCTTCTTGTGTCATCATGGCCTAACCAGTATCCTTGTCTTTTGCAAAGACAGTAGCAAATATTGATTTATTACCTCAGTCATGCCCTCTGCCTCCACCTGTAAATACACTTTTTGGTTTTTGATTGTTCCCTTTTATACCATGATCTTCAATTTTTTCTGGTCTGTTGTGAAACAATATATGAAATGTTTTGTGGAAATCCATATGTGCCATTGCATAAGTATTACCCTCAGCAACCCTTTCCGTTACCTCTTCAAAAAGCTCCAACAAATCAGTTCAACACAATTTCCACTTTAGCAATCCTTGCTGATTCTTCCTAATCAACCTGACATTTTTTGTGTGATTCCTGAATCCATTCTGAATAATTGTTTCCAAAAGTTTCCCCATCCACTGCTTGAATACGAGGAGCGTGACAGGTAAATTAGATGATCTTAGGGTTTAGGTTAGTACATGGAATTACAATGTTGTAGCAATTATAGAGACTTGTTGAGAGAAGAGCAGGACTGGCAGCTCAACATTCCAGGGTTTAAATGTTTCAGGTCTGATAGAGAAGGATGTAAAAGGGCTGGGGGAGTTGCATGACTGATTAAGGAGAATGTCACAGCTGCATTGAGCGAGGACATCTCGGAGAGCTCCTCCAGCAAGGCCATATGGGTAGAATTCAGGAATAAGAAAGAAGCACTCACAATGATGGAGTTATACGATCATTCTCCCAATAACCAGCGGGAAGTAGAGGAACAGATATGTAAGCAGATAATGGAAAGATGTTAGTAAGTAGGTAAGGGAAGCAAATCAAATACTACAGGCAGACAAGATCATAGCAAGGTAAGACTGAAGAATTAAACTGCATTAACTTCAATGCAAGAGGCCTGACAGGTAAAACATGAACTTAAGGCATGATTGGGACACCATAGCTATTACAGAAATGTGGCTCAGGAATGGACAGGACCAACAGCTTAATGTTCTGTGGTATAGATGCTGTAGAAAGGGAAGCAAGAGAGGAGGGGGGGAGTGGTGTTTTTGTTTAGGGATAACATTACGGCTGTACTTAGGGATGATATTCCAGGGAGGTCATCCAGTGAAGTTATATGGGTGGAAATTAAAATTAAGAATTGCATGATCACCTTGTTGTGATTGTGTTATAGGCCCCCTAATAATCATTGCAAAATCGAGAAGCAAATATGTAGGGAGATCGCAAGTATCTGTAGAAAAATAGGGATATAATGGCGTGGGATTTTAACTTTCCAAATGGAGACTATAACTTGGATGGGGAGGAATTGTACAAGAAAACTTCCCTATTCAATATGCAGATGTACCTACTGGAGAAGGAACAATATTTGCACTTTTGTTGGGAAATAAGGCAGAGCAAGTAACTGAGGTGTCGGTGGAGAAGCACTTTGGGACAAGTGATCATAATTTTACTAGTTTTAAAATAGTTATTGGAAAGGATAGAACTGATTAAAAAGTTAAAGTTCCAAATTGATGTAAGGCCAATTTTGACGGTATTAGGCTAGAACTTTTGAAAGTTGATTGGGGAAACCTTTAAGAATGAGATAACGAGAGTCTAGAGACAGTATGTTCATGTTAGGCTGAAGTGCAGGACAGGTAGGTGTAGAGAATGCTGGATGACAAAAGAAATTGAGGTTCTGGTCAAGAAAAAGGAGGAGGCATATATCAGGTATAGACAGCTGGGATCGAGTGAATAGCATACTTAAGAGGGAAATCAGGAGGTCAAAATGGACTTAAGATAGCTTTGGGTAAATAGAGTTAAAGAGAATTCAAAGAGATTCTACAAATTCACTAAGGGCAAACAAGTAACTAGGGAGAAAATAGGGTCTCTTAAAGATCAACATGGCCGTCTGCGTGGAGCCACAGGCAATGGGTAAGATATTAAACAAATATTTTGCGTCAATATTTACTGTGGAGAAGAACATGGAAGCTAGGGTACTTGGGGAAATAAATAGTGATGTTTTGAAAAGAATTCATATTACATAAGCGGGGGTGCTGAAGATCTTGAAATGTGTAAGAGTACATAAATCCCCGGAACCTGATCAGGTGTTTCTCAGAACTTTGTGAAAAGCTAGTGAAGTGATTACCGGGCCCCTTGCTGCAATGTTTATATTATCGACAGCCACAGGTGAGGTGCCAGAAGACTGAGGATTTATTTAAGAAAATATCATTTAAGAAAAGGTCAGGGAACAATCGATTGGTGAGCTTTACGTCAATGGTGGGTATGTTGTTGGAGGGAATTCTGAGGGACAGAGCTGCACGCATTTGGAAAGGCAAGGACTGATTAGAGATAGTCAGCATGGCTTTGTGCATGGGAAATTGTCCCACTAACTTGATTGGGTTTTTTGAAGAGATGACAAAAAAGATGGAAGGCAGAGCGGTAGATGTTGTCTATACGGACTTCAGCAAGACATTCGACAAGGAATTCAGGGGAGCTAGCCAATTGGATCCAAAATTGGCTTGAAGATAGGAGATAGAGGGTTGCTTTTTGGACTGGAGGCCTGTGACCAGCGGTGTGCCACAAGAAACAGTGCTGGGTCCACTGCTTTTTGTCATTTATATGAATGATTTGGATGAATGTAGGAGACATGATTGATAAGGTGATGTAGTGGACAGTGAAGAGATGAGCTCAGTACAATGGGACATTGATCAGATGAGCCAAAGGGCTGAGGAGTGGCAGACCGAATTTAATTTAGATAAATGTGAGATGTTGCAATTTGGTAAGGCAAGCCAGTACAGGACTTGTGCAGTTAATGGTAAGGCCCTAGAGAATATTGCCAACCAAAGAGACCAATAGGTATGGGTGCATAGTTCCTTGAAAGTGGAGTCATGGGTAGATGGGTTGGTGAAGAAGACATTTGACACACTTGCCTTCATTGGTCGTAACATTGAGTATAAGAGTCAGGATGTCATGTTGCAGCTGTACATGACATTGATGAGGCCACCTTTGAAACACAGTGTACAATTCTCGTCATCCTATGGAAAGATGTTGTTAAATTTGAGAAAGTGTAGAAAAGATTTACAAGGATGTTGCAGGGATTGGAGGGTTTGAACTATAGGGAGAGGCTGAATAGGCTGGGT